GTGTATCGGCGTACAGAGGACACACGGGACCGTCAGTGCGGTGTATCGGCGTATAGAGGACACATGGGACCGTCACTGCGGTGTATCAGTGTATAGAGGACATGAGACCAGGGTATACAGGGATCTAGATTCCTCCTGAGCTCTGCATACACAATGCAGTGACTCCATTCCCGGATCCTCCTCCTCATCTGTTATTATTATTATTTTGCTGTCTTGCCGCTGTCATGACGTCACCTCCCAGCCGCTTAAGACACCGGCTCCTATTGGGCGCCACCTCTCTCCCCGCCCAGCCAATGGCACGGTTCGCCGGCCTCGGGTGCAGAGTGACGTCACGTAGTTCCCGTCTGCTTTATTTTGCTTCGGTCTCCCGGAGCCGCCATTACGGGAAGAACCGGACCAAGCCGAGCTGGAGAACACCGGAGCGGCTGAGAGCGGGAGGGACCGGACGAGCGGCACCGAGGGGTCCGGTCCCGGGGGAGATGAGCGGGGGAAGGGAGCCGGCCACGGGATAGAGCCAGGTGAGAGCCGTACTACGGGGGAGGTGAGGGTGGTCCGGGGTCACCTGTCAGTACCTGGGAGGGGAAAGGGAGGGGAGGGCTTCCTGGTGTGAGAGGGGCCCAAGGCCTATAGTGTCAAGGGCCCCGGCCTCCTATGTGAGGAGGAGGAATTCCCACACAGGGGGCTCATTATATAGTGTACAGTTGTGAGGCTGAGCACTGTGTGGATGTGCTAGAAAAAGAATGTTTGTGTGTAGTGTAAAAAAAAAAAAAATAAAAAAGGTGAATGTTTTTTTATATTTTTATTTATATATATTTTGTCATTTCACATATTACATACATATATTTATATGTAACAAAAAAGGAGGGGGGAAAAAACCCTATAAAAAAGTGTGTAAATATATATAAAAACCAAAACAAAAGCTGTCTGTAAGAATCCATAAATGTCCCCATAGATGTTTTCTGTATGTTGAAGCCCCTCGCAGTGTGTAGGGTGTGGTGTGACGTCCTCGCGGTGTTGCGTTCTGAGGATTTGGTGTGAAGCGTGTTGGACGACATTCTGGTGGTGTTAATCTCCCGGTCGGGTCCAGTCGGTTGTCTGATGACACATGACGGGTTCTAATGAAATGTTGATCGGCGTTTTGCATACCTGTGCTGCTCACCGCCCATCTGGTATGTTCCAGGTGATTATTAGCAGGTGATCACATGACTCAGTTAACCGAATGAGAACAGAGGGAAGTTGTCCACAGTTTGTGTGCCCATTTTGTTGTAGGACGATGACTGTCCATGTCTGTCTGCCCCCCCCCCCCCTCCAGTGGTTTATCTTCTAAAGACCTCATACGCTACACAGATTTTTATGGTGGGCGATCAGCATGTTTTGGATTGTGGGAATGATCCAGGGTGACCCAAACTTCATACTGGTAGTCCTTGGATCCAAGGTTCTGTACTAAGAGTTTCTGAAAGCAGGCATTGCTGACCAATGTAGACTTTTAGACCTGACCCCAAGCATTCTGAAGGACGGAACATACAAGCCCCGATGGGGAATCTTGTGGACTCCTGAAACGCGTTGGATTTCCTATCTTGACCTTTGAAACACACCATTCTGGACTCTGTTGCCTTTGGTTTGACTCTCTTGCTGCTGTCTACTATAGGCTGATCCAATGGCTTAAACTGTGTTAGTCGCTGACCTGGGGCCAGTGTTCAGTTTATTCAAACTTTTAAATCTGAAATGCTTTTCTGAATCAGTGATTTGGAGAATGCTAAAACAGAAGACAGCCAGGCACTTGCATTTTCAGAATGAGATCAGCGATGCCAGCCTCCAAATTTCTATTCTATTCAATCTTAATTTGTAAAATAAAGCCCAACTCCATGCAAACTCCCTCTCATCTCTCCCTCCCTCTACCCTGTAGCTGGTTCCTGGAGTAAAAAAAGAACTCCGAATCTACATATGCTTTTTATTTGCCTAAACTCAGTCATGTGTCTTTTGTGTCCCAATCCTCTTCCTTTCTTTTTTGCCGAGTGGGGCCATTCTTTGTGTGTCCACATCTCTGCCCGTGTGATGTGGATCCTTTTTATTGGCTGTGTAGCAATGACACTCTTTCAGGATCCAGAGCACATGCAAAATCCTCGAGGGGACAGTAGGGGATTGTGATGGTGAGACATAAGTTTCACATCTGAATTGCCACTCCCCACAGCAAAAAACTGCACCAGTGAGGGTCCCAGACATTGGACTTGGGTGGGTATATCTTCACCACATAAGACAAAAATGGCTTAACACGATAGGTTACGGAGATCCGAGGTGGGAAATTGGGATGGAAAAGTTTTATTTTTGTTTTTAAGTTATAACGCCCAATTCCAGGATGTTAGCAACCAACCTTCCTACCCCTCTAACCACTGGCATGAACAAAAATAAACCTATCCATGTGCCCATATTACTTCTCTAAAGCCTGTTTAACGGCCTGTTTACTCCTTGGGGGGCGTTCAGGTGTCCTCCCTAAAGCCACGGCCTGTTTACTCCTTGGGGCGTTCTTCAGGTGTCCTCCCTAAAGCCACGGCCTGTTTACTCCTTGGGGGCGTTTTTTTCAGGTGTCCTCTCCCTAAAGCCACGGCCTGTTTACTCCTTGGGGGGCGTTCTTCAGGTGTCCCCCCTAAAGCCACGGCCTGTTTACTCCTGGGGGCGTCCTTCAGGTGCCCTCCCTAAAGCCACGGCCTGTTTACTCCTGGGGGCATTCTTCAGGTGTCTTCCCTAAAGCCACGGCCTGTTTACTCCTGGGGGCGTCCTTCAGGTGCCCTCCCTAAAGCCACGGCCTGTTTACTCCTGGGGGCGTCCTTCAGGTGCCCTCCCCTAAAGCCACGGCCTGTTTACTCCTGGGGGCGTTCTTCAGGTGTCCCCCCGAAAGCCACAGCCTGTTTACTCCTTGGAGCGTTCTTCAGGTGTCCTCATCTGTGCCATTATGTGGACACTGTGTTGATGGAGGCGATACTTCCAGTGGCTGGGCACTCTCACAAAGGCCTGAGAAGCAGAACTCGCAGGACAGTGAGGGTGCTGGGGTAAAGTAATGAGCGGCTGGACCCAGAGCATGCGATTGGCTTGGCACATGGTGTAAACTGTCTTTGAGCCATTACTTTGCAGAATGGCTTAGTAGGAGGTGTTTGGAAAACAAGACTTAGGAGTAAGGTAATCACTTCTATTTTACCCGGAGTTGAGCTTTAATCCTGAAATGAGATGGACCATATTATACTTATTGTTAGAATGTGGATCAACCACCTGTTTTTACTGCCCCTTAGACTTTTGGGTGCGGACGACTTTTAAATGTCATTCCAAACGGCAGGTGTGGTGTTGTGCTGATGGCTGTTATCAGTGCCCAGGGTTTCCCAGGACTAGTGATCTCACTAATCAGTGCTCCTCTGTGTTGTGTGGCCTGGTATAAAGGTCGCCTTCTTTTAATATGTGTAGAAGTTCAGCTTCAGTGGATCATCATGATGCAATCTGTACACAATTCCTGCCTGTATTACGAAGCAAGTGTCATGCTTTATGTGTAAGCTAATGAGACCGTCATCTGCAGCAGGGATTAGAAATGTCATCTAGAAATCTTTGTTTCAGTCTCTTCCAGCAGCTTGGAGTTTTGTATGTACGTTGGGTGTTTTTTTTTTTTTGTTTTTTTTATATGGACCTTTATGGGAATTTTTGCTTTGTGTGACCAGCAGGCTCGTGTAGAATTTGCTGTCACTAGGCTCTGTGTTGACAGGCCATTTGGATGGGGGATGGGCAGTTGTCAACATAGTATGTTCTGCAGTTTTCCACCCAGTCTGACCATTGTACAGAAGAATAAGAGAATGGATTGTGCAGTGTGACCTCAGCATCGGCCTCAGTGATGTGACATATGATACAGACGCATAACCCATTGTTTATTTTTCTCATTGTGGTCTGTTTACTTGACCCATAATTTGATTTTTTGACATTTTACAGGGGAAGGCTTTTTAAGCCTTTTATTTTGTAGCTGTTGACTGTTATGGTGCGTCTCATAAATCTCACTCACCCCTCTATTGAGGAGTATGTGGTCTTGTATTATGTTTAAATGCAATAAGGACACTTGATTTTTTTTTTTTTTTATGTGGACATAGGTCATGTTGAGATTTTTGAGTAAAGCAAATGACTCGGCTTCCTATATTTAGGTACATTATGCAGCAATCTCATTTTCATCAGTCTGTTTATGCAAACAAAACACAGCACTAGGTTCACACTATTGTGGCACTGTGAGGGTGCATTTGAATGGGCTGCTGTATCTGTGGGAAACACAGGGAAAAGGTTCCCAAATCGTTTTCCAAAGTGCAGCAGATTGCTATGACACCATGCAGTTTCCTGCACCTAAAAATGCACTGTGTTTTAAGATGCGTGAGGCGTGCCATTAAGAATTCTGCTTCTGCACCCTCAATAAGTGGGAGCCTAGGTGTAGGTATGTTTTACCTTTATTAACATGGTATGTATCTGTGCAGGGATTGGAAATGCAGTTTCGTTTCAGTATTCTGCTTTGGCACTGGTTCACACTAAGATTTCTGATGCGTTCCAGAACTGATGGAATCGCATGACGAGTGAAAGAATGCGTTTCTATGAAGGCTGTTCATATACAGTATCTCACAGAAGTGAGTACACCCCTCACATTTTTGTAAATATTTTATTCTATCTTTTTTTCATGTGACAAACACTGAAGAAATGACACTTTGCTACAATGTAAAGTAGTGAGTGTACAGCTTGTATAACAGTGTAAATTTGCTGTCCCATCAAAATAACTCAACACACAGCCATTAATGTCTAAACCGCTGGTAACAAAAGTGAGTACACCCCTAAGTAAAAATGTCCAAATTGGGCCCAAGTAGCCATTTTCCCTCCCCGGTGTCATGTGACTCATTTGTGTTACAAGGTCTCAGGTGTGAATAGGGAGCAGATGTTAAATCTGGTGTTTATCGCTTTCATTCGCTCATGCTGGTCACTGGAAGTTCAACATGGCACGTCATGGCAAAGAGCTCTGAGGATCTGAAGAAAAAAAAAAAAAAAAAAATTGTTGCTCTACATAAACATGGCCTAGGCTATAAAAAAGATTGCCAGGACCCTGAAACTGAGCTGCAGCATGGTACTGAGACCATACAGCGGTTTAACCAGGACAGGTTCCCACTCAGAACAGGCCTTACCATGGTTTGACCAAAGGAGTTGAGTGCACGTGCTCCGCATCATATCCAGAGGTTGTCTTTGGGAAATAGACGTATGAGTGCTGCCAGTATTGCTGCAGAGTTTGGTGGGGTGGGGGAGGGTCAGCCTGTCAGTGCTCAGACCATACACCACACACTGCATCAAATTGGTCTGCATGGTGTTGGCCCAGAAGGAAGCCTCTTCTAAAGATGATGCACAAGAAAACCTGCAAACAGTTTGATGAAGACAAGCAGACTAAGGACATGGATTACTGGAACCATATCCTGTGGTCTGATGACACCAATATAAACTGATTTGGTTCAGATGGTGTCAAGCGTGTGTGGCGGAAACCAGGTGAGGAGTACAAAGACAAGTATGTTTTGCCTACAGTCAAGCATGGTGGGTGGGAGTGTCATGGTCTGGGGCTGCATGAGTGCTGCTGCACTGGGGAGCTACAGTTCATTGAGGGAACCATGAATGTCAATATGTACTGTAACATACTGAAGCAGAGCATGATTCCCTCCCTTCGGAGACTGGGCCGCAGGGCAGTATTCCAACATAACGACCCCAAACACCTCCAAGACGACCACTGCCTTGCTAAAGAAGCTGAGGGTAACGTGATGGACAAACATGTCTCCAGAACTAAACCCTATTGAGCCTCTGTGGGGCATCCTCAAATGGAGGGTGGAGGAGCACAAGGGTCTCTAACATCCACCATCTCCGTGATATCATCATGGAGGAGTGGAAGAGGACTCCAGTGGCAAACCTGTGAAGCTCTGGTGAACTCCATGCCCAAGAGGGTTAAGGCAGTGCTGGAAAATAATGGTGACAACACAAAATATTGACACTTTGGGCCCAATTTGGACGTTTTTACTTAGGGGTGTACTCACTTTTGTTGCCAGCGGTTTAGACATAATAGACTGGCCATAGTCCATAGTCATTGTCGGCCGATTAACGAAAAAATCGGTCAGCCCCGTTGCCGATGCTGCCACCAATGTCCACGAAAAACGGCCGTTTTTCATGGATTTTCCAGCATGACTGATAAAAATAAACGAGAAGATCCACGAAAAACAGCTCACGGGCTGGCCCCACTAACGGCATGAATATTGGCAGATTTTTCGAGCCGACAAAAATTTGGCCGATAAACGACCCGTCTATGGCCTGCATTAGCTTTAAAATAAAGCTTACCTATAGGTAAAATAAATATCTTCTAAATGTGCACTGTTTAGGAGATACTCTAGTGAGCAGCAGCCGGTGATGTCACCAGCGCATGTGTTCTGAAGGAATGGCATACCCATGCCGCTCCTTCAGAGCTGTGTACCGCAGCAGAGACGTCATAGCGGCTTGGCTGTTTAAGCGGCTGTAGCCTGCAAACCCCAAAGTAAGACTTGGTGAAGATGGAAGCCTCTACAGCAGTGACAACGTGCTTCTGGAGGGCTTCATTTCAAGGTTAGTGTTTCATGTGCTAGCATGCAGTGCATACTAGCACGTTATGATGTTCCCAAGAGCGTACTACCTCTTTAATTCTAGGCAAGGTGCTATAGATTATGGCCCTCATACTGAAAGCGGTATTAAAACCCAAATGCAAACCTTTATTATATTGCAGCTTACCAATTCTTAGATATGATAGCTGCATTTAGTTTGTTTATTTTTAGCTTAGGCTTTTTTAATTTTTACCTAGTGGGTCTGGCCAGCAAGTATGTTTTTAACAGAACAAGCTTGTCTGAAAATGTAGCAGTTATTGTTGAGACAAACCATTTACCACTGACAAGTGTTTTTTACAAATCAACCTTTATTCATGAAAACCTTTATCTCAAAAGAGAGAATGGTGCCTGTGAACTGGAATTTGGCTTTAGTTAGTGTATTTAAATCTGCTAGTACACCCAAACCCCCCCCCCTCCCCAGACTCACAATGTTGCTGTCTAAAGGTGTGTCTCTGTTGCTGCTTCCTCAAGAGTGTCAGCACGCTAATATAGGAAGTTTGTATCTGGGCAGATCACCAGGTGGAAATCGAGGGGGGGGGAGGGAAAGAAAACCAATGCAACCACCACATCTAATGATTGATAAGTTGCAATGTATTACATTTTTGGTTTTAGGTTTAATACTGCTTCAGGTGTTTTATCTGCTGAATGGATTTGTATTGCATTCAGCCAATTTTTGTAGTCCTTGTACCCCAGCCACGTGGAGCGGCCAGGACTTTGACCTTCACCACAGCAGGAATTCTAGTTGCTCAGGAACACACGCTCAACCTTACTATTGAACAGTGATGGCGTAATCTGAAAGTTCACTGTCCTCACAAGTGCATTACTGCACGGCCTGATTTGGAACTTAATTCTGGTTCTTCTGCTCTTGGCTAAATGTTGCTGCACAGGCAATTACATGTGTCTTGTAACAAGACAAGCTCATATACTTGTGGTTGGATGTGAAGTCCATATGATTACATAAGTGCGTTTATTTGTATTTTCTTTACAATGCAACCTATGCATCTGAAATCAGGGTTAATGTATATGGGGGGAAATGTGTTTTTTTTTTTTTTTTTTTTTTTTTTCCCCAAGAGTTCTTAAATTCCAAACTTTTTTGATGTGTAAATTATACGCATGTAACATGTAAATTGTTCTTTAAACATGTGCAAACCGTGAATGACTGCCAGGCAGAGTAGGTAGAGTTTCAACAGCCAGGCCTCTAAGCATCCTCTGTGCCTTTTACAAGTATCTCTAGAGATGCCATGGCTCTGATGCAGGGTCTCTGCCAGTGCTACTGGTATTCTGTAGTTTCCACCCAGTCTGATCATTGTACAGAATAAGAGAACAGATTGTGCAGGGTGATCTCATGTTGTGATCTATACAGATGCTTAACCCATGGCTTTGCGTATTGTGGTTAACCCATGGCTTTGCTTAGTTGAACCGAAATTTGGTTTTTACTTCTGAGTTGGCGAATGTCCCGATAGAAACCATTGCACCTTGTTTTAATCTGTCTGGGGATATCGGTTTAAGAAGTTGTCCATATCCTGCCTGAACTGTGCTTGACATTGGTACACCCCGGTTTATAGCATTTGTGTGAAGTCGCTTTTGGACACTTTCCCAAGCCCAGTGTAAGGCAACTGAATATGATTGTTCTTTGAGATATTTGCACTGTGACTGGTAACAGGCCAGGTCACACTGCAGGGGTTCCTCGAATTCTGTACCTAGCTGGTAAAGATGGGGCTCTTACTGTGCAGCTACGGGTTCAGTTACACTCCTAAAGATCTGTCAGGATAAAGGAGCTGCTTTTGTCGAGATATAGATAAAAAGTGTTTTGGTTTTTTTTTTAAAGGTGTATGCTATGGTACTACCTTTTTGTCAATTTGTGAACTATTAAAGTTACAAACAAGGTGCAGTTATATTAAATGGTTAAACTGTGCAAATACCCAACCCTAATTGTGTACAAAGCAGCAAACCTACCATGAGGATATCCCCTCTAAATCACAAATCAAATAAATAGCTTGTGTTGCGCTAAGTGGCATTTGCATACATCAAAAATTCATAAATAATATACAAATATATGTCCAATAAAGGATAAACAGAGTGCTCAAGAGTGAATCATTGCCAAAAATAAATATATTTTAAATAAACATATATGAAACTGTCCTTAAAAGGTGTATAGAACAGTCCCCTTATTCTGTGATGAGTAATGGAAAATCTTCATTCCAATTGTATAGGGATAAATGTGATCCTTACTAATCATCCATCATAAGAGAACATCTTAATGAAATAACAGTAATAAAAGTGTTCGATTATATCATAAGTACATGAGTGTCTTAGAGTAAGGTCCATTACGCTAGTAGTGGCTAATATGCATATATACGTATACACAGTTAAGTTGATATAAATAACATTTAATATATATTGCATTTTTCTATTTGTAATAAGCAGCTAAAATGGCGTCTGAATCATTTCTGTTTTCTTGAACACATGTTCCTTTTGGTCCACTATACACACAGGGGTTGGTAAACTGATAAGTAATGATGGGTGTAGCCTGTGCTAAAGAAACCCTATAAAAATGTGAACTGTGATCAACTTAATCGGAGCACTAGGTGGCCAGAGGGTGTGTATCTTCACCAATAAATATATATTACAGCTGTATCTTCACCAATAAATATATATTACAGCTGTATCTTCACCAATAAATATATATTACAGCTGTATCTTCACCAATAAATATATAATTTGGAGCGCTCGTGCTGACAGGTTGATTATTTCAGGTTGAAACCACAAAATTTCATACTCACAATATCACCACCAATGTAAATTACCCCACCGTAATATCAAATTGGAGGCTTATCAGATCCTTTGACCCTTAATTATAGGGGTTCAATATACGCCCGATATATATAATTCTGTTCAGGCTCACGTGTCTCAGGTCAGATCGTGTGCACCACCTACAACATGTACTCATGAAATAGAGGTGCGGGTCCAGCGCAATCTTTCCTCAAAGGATTCCAGGCTGAGATTCACACACATAAGGTGCAGTAACAGTCAACTTGCATGTGCATCTTTGCTTTTTTCGGAAAGGAACCTGTCCGATAGGAAAACAGTCTACACAAAACCTAAAGCAGAAGTGCTTAGCCCGCAGAACCCTCTGTGACCCGCGACCTCAAATCTGGGAGGCGCATGCCCATGCTCTGGGATGGCGTTGGCAAGCCCAGATTGCAATCAGTGGGTTGCCGACCTGCCATCCTAGAGCATCACCGTGCATGGAGCCAGCAGCGGATGGAGCAGGAGCTGCCGAAGCCCATTCTTCCTCTTTAGCACCGGCTCCTGTCCCAGGCGCTGCGATATCAAGTGCATTTCAGCTTTCTAGCAGCCTGGTGAGTGATGCCAGCAGAAGCTGGAAGATAAAATGTTCTGTGTAGTAAACATCACATACACTGTGCTTTTGCAATGGGCATATTAGCCCTTATATAAAAAAATTGTTATTCCTCGGATTTGGTGCACCACATTCGCAAGATTGTAAACAGTTTATGGCTCAGTGCAGCTAACCCGCCGCAGAAAAGCCACAGCGCATGAGTGTAATAGCAATCTTATAGGGGGCTCAGGACAGTAAGGGCTCATTTACATTTGCAGTTTGAGGGCGGAAATACTCCTAGTTCACTGTGGCCTTCCACTAGTTCCCAAATCACTTGGGTGGCCCTTGCTCTTCAAAAGGTTGAGCACCTCTGATCTCAAGCATTTACCTAAAAATATCAGGACATTCAAGCGGAGGTCAATAATCTTTTCCACATTAAAGTGGAAGTCTGTTCAAAACCTAGCTAAGCTTAAACCTGCTCTCACCTCTTTTCTAATTCCTATACTGACTACCTTGTAAACGAAAGATTACGCATACCTAATCTAAAGGCGCTCTGGTTCAGTCATGTGATCGGCTCCCAGCGCCAGCTTCAGGGGAGAGTAGGGACAG